AGTACTGATCAAGACTTCAAGTATTTCGGGTCAAAACTGCGTAGGTTTTATATGATTTTGCCGCACTATATATCCTCCCTCCTAATAGAAACTTCTCCTCTCTCCTTGCAATATATATCAATTTTTATTTTATTTTTTTAATGTATAAAAGTATCTCCAAGAATTAACAGCACCCGATCTATGTAAATCTTTCTCTATACTATTTTATTTAGAATTATCTAACTACTTAATATATTCGTAATTAATCCTTTTTATCTCTTTTCTCATTAATAATTTGTTACCATACTTTTATTTTATTTCATAATTTCAAATTTTTGAGATATATTTTTAATAGAATTTTTAAAAAGAATTTTATGTTCTAAATAAGATCACGTCTCTAAATCGACACGAGTTTAAAAAGGATACATTATATATTATATTATTATTGAAAACATTAATGATTTTCAGTTATTATATTTTTACAAATTATAACTATTTTTTTTTTTTAATATTTATAATTATATATTTTGAATCTACCAACTTTGGCCTTGTTTGTTTTTTGGCTTTTTGGCCAAAACGCTAAAATAGTGGTTTTGACTAAAATCAAAAAAGCTAAAATTGATTGTTTTGTTGTTTGGTAAAACAGCTTTTCAAAATAGCTTATGGGCTGAAAACGCCAATATTGCAAACGCTATGATTTGCAGCGTTTGTGATAGCGTTTTGTACCTTTTCCTTTTCTTTTACACTTTTTGCTTTTCTTTTGCTAATTTAGCATATTCCTAGGCCACTATTTACGCTTTATTTTTATTTTTTTTTTCATTTCATCATGTTTTAAATTGTGCATAATAATAAATTTTAATTGTGTTGCTTTATTGCTTTTTTTTTTTTAATAAGTATGACGTGAACTTATTACTCAATTAAAAAAATTTATTTTATTATTATTTATATTATATTTAAAATCACTTTAATAAATATTTAAATATTAATTATTTTTATTTTAAACCGCTAACACAATCAGCTAATTTTATCAAACACTTTTTTTACAAACCGCTAACACAACCAGCTAGTCAAAACAACTAATGCAATCCGCTGGTCAAAACAGCTAATGCAATCCGCTAACAGCTAACAGCTAACCGCTAATTACCAAACAAGGCTTGTCTTTTAAGCTATTATTTCACATGTTGACTTGATTGCCTGACCAGTTTATTCACTTTATCCTTTTAAAATAGATAATATTGTTAAGCAATTACTTAGAATTCAATTTGTGTACTCTTGTGATAATCATTATAATTATAAAAGTATTAGTTTCCTTGTGCTTATAAATTCCAAGATAATATGAAATGCTTAAACGGAAAAAAAAAAAAAAATCTACAAAATTTCCTTTTTTTAATAACTAATAATATTGGATAAAAAATTACATATACTATTTTTTTTTTTTTTTGGTACAATCCCCCTATATATATAATTCCCGAATGCGCTGAGCCTATGTGGCTGCTTCTGGTGCTTCGGAATCCTACTTGGCGAAGAATCATGCTTCGTAATTAGGTTTGGACAAATAATATTGATATATTAATAATTAATATTCTAGGTTCGGACATTCCATAAATATTATTTAACTAACTTAGGTATTTTAATATCACTTGTACTAATATAACCCTTTCATTCTTTGTAATTTTATATAGTGAGGTACTAAGTGACTAATATATTCCTGACTTTTGATTTGTTTCCTTCAATTACTATTGAATTATAATAAATGTATTTTAAAGGGTGATAACTTTTGTATTTCTTATCGGTTTTACTTATATAATATATCAAATTAATCATCTTTTCATGATCTTCGATTTGACATCCATATTGTATATATAAAATAAATAAATTATATTTATCTTTATAATCATACAAAATAATAATATTTATTAAAATTTATTAGAAAAAATAAAACTATTTCTCAATTGATATATTTATGTTTAATGTAATTATATGTCGTAAGTTAAAAAGAAATAATATAATATAACACAAGTAAGTCACACAAATAAAAAGTGTCATACTAAATATATAATAATATATATTTTAATAAAAGATATTTAAATTTTCAACTATTTTTTCTCATTAATTTTAAATTTAAAAAAAAAATTAAGCAAGCACCCGTGTAATACACAGGCATTGTACTAGTTACATATACTATTTCAACTAAATGCCAAATCTTTATAATTCTCTATCGCAAAGGATAGCAAGCTGACCAGATTTGGTGCTAGTATTTTTTTTGGTACAATAAAGAGAGGCCAAGGCCTAAAAGCTAGATATTTTAAAACATTTCGTGGGTATACGACCCCGAGAATATCATGATGTATCAGTTGTCGAGCTTCCCCCGGTGGCTCGTCCAAAAAAATTTGGACCATTTCTCGATTTATGCATGTCGTCCAAAAAAATTTGGACCAGATTTGGTGCTAGTATTAAGTATTAACTCATCAAGTTGGATAGGTATTACCAGTCAGAGTGGATATGTTGAAGAATTTAATAATAGAATAATAAATCTAACTCTATATAATAATAATAATAATAATAATAATAATAATAATAATAATAATAATAATAATAATAATAATAATAATAATAATAATTTAGTAGAAAGCATTTGAACTTGCTAAAAGCTATTATCAGCTAATGGAATATTTCTCCAATAACAAATTCCACAGATCGGGTGAAATTTTCAGAAATTCTATGGCACCATATGTGGCACCATATTATGGTGCCACAACATGATGTGGCACATTATGATTTTACCATCAAAAAAGTTTTACTTCAAGAATTTGAGTCAACAATTAGTTACTAATAATAACCATATCTAAGAGAGAAAAACATTGTTCTGTGATTCTTTCCACAGCCATTGGGATTAATAGTACGAAACCACAAGAACAGAAGTATTGTTTCAGTCACGAGTCACGACTATTCATATTTTCCTGCTCCTTTTCCTCTGCATCGTCAAATCGCTGATCATTTATTCGAAGCTGCATGAAATAAGTCAATATCTTATATACACTTGTCATATATATATATATATATATATATATTCATTATAAATTCTCTCATAACAAAGTACTATCAAAATTGCTGTACTTTTCACAGTAATTAGTTCTTCAAGACAAAAGTTCAATACAAATACCGTTTAAAATATGGGCGTGCTGGATAAAGTAAATGAGTACAAGTAATTATAACCAGGAAAACAGATTTCGCCAATTTGGCTCCCATCATATAAACACAATGAATTTCCAAATGTACCTGCACGACTGAATGAGCTAAGTCGTGAGTCCCATTGGCACCAATTGTATGGGTTGAGATTTCAGGGAAAGCCCATTCTCTGCCATCATCCTCTAAAGAGAACACAAGAAAGCAGGAATCGAAACAAGCAAAAAAAAAAAAAATGCTAAAAGAGAACAAGGAGACTATTCAGTTGGTACCTGCATCATCATTTTCCAGTTGATCAGCACTGAAAATCCAATTGTGTTCAACTTCTTCCTCTGCTGGAAGAACAGACAAAGCTAATAGTACTTAGTCCCAGTTACAAATTCTGAACGTAAGAAATAAAGGGAGAATTCATCATCACCTTCTGTGGGATCAGGATTCAGCTCAGCACACTCACAAAATATTGCAAACAACTCATCCACTGTAATGAGTTGGGTAACTTTTAGAAAGATAGAAGTTGGAAGGGAACAAAGGCAAAACTGATCGAAAGATTAAAAATTGAAACTAAAGAATGACTCTGCAAAAGGAAAATGTGATAAGTACATTGATTAGGATCTGCAGGCACGAGTCTCATCTCAGTTATTTTCTGTAAGTCTAATGTATCATCACTCTCAGAATCCGAATCTTCCATTTCATCTTCCTCAGCGCCAGTCTCGATCTTTAAAAAAAAAAGAAATGCAAATGCCAACATAAGTTCGTCAAAGAAACCATACGAAATCCTATAAGGCCGAAAGAACTGATAATATACTCCATCATATATTTAGAATGGTCTGGAATTAGGAAAAGTTCATCAGCATGCTTCCATACACAACACATATATTTATATACACACACATTTCAACCACTATACTACTTCAACTGGCACATAGCACTTCATGATACAAAATGAATTTCGGCAATCGCATGTATCGCGGTTATTAAATCCTTCATATTCACTCATGAGTCGATTTTTGAATGGAAATGTGTTACTTCTTGAATTTATTTACTTTAAATCCAGCTTGCTACACAACCCAAAGCTCCAAAATTTATACTAACCCAACCATTTCATGCAAAAATTATAAACTTCGAATTGTGATTCATTTGATAAATAATAAAAGATACCAAAGAACGGACATTGGAACTTTGGAAGCTAAGTGTAAATAAACTCACAGACACCCACCTGAGTATAAATACAAGGGGAAGGATAAGCCTCGGGATCCCTGGACACCGCGTGCAGAGAAACTGAGATAAAGTCGACCGCATAGCCCTTGGCTCTGTCCGTGTCACTCAACCACACAACTCGCCTTTCCAAGAAGAAAACAAGACTTCGATCAGTTACTCCAAGAATCACTTCGAAACCGCGCATAAAAAATTACATGAAGATCCTTTACTTGGTAGTGACGTAGAGAGTGCCAGGGGATTCAGGTGGGCGGCGGCCGTCTCCGAGAACGATTGAGACGCCTTGCTGGACGTGCATCAGCTCCTCGCCATTTCCGGCGTCTAAGACTAGACTTCCGGCGTCATCTCCAGCCCTTTCCGTCACAAGTCGGAGTCCAGTGGCCATTTGCCGATGGGAGTTCAATGCTCAGTGGTTTTTGAAGAAGGATTTGGGATTTGGGGGTTTAGGGTTTTGGTGTGGAATACATACCTCGAGCCCAAATAATTTCAAAATGTAATGTAATAGTTACTGACCGACTGACCGTTTGATTTTCTCATAACAAAATTGAATATAAAAATAATTGATACGGTTTCGAATATTTCATAAATATCAAACCAAACTGAATCATCTTAGTTTGTATCTATCGAAGAACCGAAATAAAACATTAGATGTTTTATTCTCATAAGTTTTTTATCGACTTTATTAATCTTGTATAATTTGAATATATTTAAATTACTTAATAAAATATGGTAATGATATTTAGACTTTACTCTATATTGTATACTTTCTCAATTGACCTATTTCATATACTTTTTTAAGAATCTATTACTATATATTAGGCAACTTACTTACTAAAAATAGTAAGTATTTTAGTGGGTCCCTCATTATATTACTAGGAAAGTTAGTTTCATTTTTTTATTTTTTTATTAAACGTGCTTCAACCTCCGTTAATATTTTTTTTATTTTTAATAATAGGTTAATAGTAAAAGTGGACTTAAATTTGTTATTACCATTTATAGATAGGCATTTTAAAATGTTTTGCCTGTTTTGATTTCTCATTAATATAAAAGTAAATTTCTTTTTACATGTACATGATATGTTCAATCACAGTGAATTATTTATGATGTATGTTAAATAATAATTTATATTTAAAGTCTTCCTAAAAATATGAAGATACTAGATAATAATCTACTTATTTAAATAAAAGAATGTTTCACAAAATAAAGAAATTGTAAGTATATGTATAGAAAATAATAGTTAACTAATAAGATTACATTATAAATTATAAAACCAGACAAGTAAGAAATAAAATATTCAAGTGTCAAAATACGATCTAAATTACATGATAAATTCAAACAAACTGTAATAAAATGTGTTAAGATAATAAAATAATTTGAGTATTTTCTTATACCCCAACTATATATATTTGCGCATTTAGTACATGATGTTCCAATTAAATCAATTTAGTTACTCAAGTTTTCGTTTATCAATATATTTTGGTCCACATCGTTAGATTTTATAAATAAATAAATAAATAAATAACGGTTTTAGAAAGAAATTCGTTGAATTCATGGAAAACTATATATAAAAAAAACTATAAAAAAACTATATAAAAAAATTCATTAATACTATGTCAATTTGTTCTATTAATAAAAAAAAAAACTAAAGAATATATATATAGGAATCTACTTTTAGGCTTTTAATTCTGAACTTTACATTGTTGCTTCTCGAGTTACAAATAAAAGACACAAGATACTGATGTATAATGAGAAATAAAATATGCAGATATAAACATTGTATATAGTAGTCTATTTTAATTGCATATGAAAATTATTTATTCTATTTATGTTTCCTTATTTCATTTATTTTTAATAGTTCCGTGCATTTTCACGGGCCACAATACTAGTATATATAATAGTACATGATATACATAAAAAAAAAAAAAAAAAATCATCTATATTATGGGTCGGTCTATTATCCCCGAAAATCCCCTACAATTAGGCCAATATGCATAATAAATCGCCTCTATATATAATTCCAGAATGCGCTGAGCCTACATGGCTGCTTCTGGTGCTTCGGAATCCTACTTGGCGAAGAATCATGCTTCGTAATTAGGTTCGGACAAATAATATTAATATATTAATAATTAATATCTAGGTTCGGACATTCCATAAATATTATTTAGCTAACTTAGGTATTTTAATATCACTTGTACTAATATAACCCTTTAATTAATTTTTTGTAATTTTACATAGTGAGACACTAAGTGACTAATATATCCCTGACTTTTGATTTGTTTCCTTCAATTAGCTATTGAATTATAAATGTATTTTAAAAGTTGATAACTTTTGTATTTCTTATCGATTTTACATATATAATATATCAAATTAATCATCTTTTCATGATCTTCGATTTGACATCCATATTGTATATATAAAATAAGTAAATAATATTTACTTTTATAATAATAAAAAATAATATTTATTAAATTTTATTAGAAAAATAAAATTATTTCTCAGTTGATATATTTTTGTTTAATGTAGTTATATGTTGTAAGTTAAAAAAATTA